TTTGTGGCTTCAAAATGAGATGTTGACCAAAAATTTGAACTTTTGACTGCCAAATGACCATTTTGCCCCTACAGTTGACTGTAGTGCAATTAGGGTTTTTGACTGTGCAATTTTGTGTTGTAAGTCTTGAAACTTGGTATGAGGATTCTTGACCATGTTTATAGGCATGTGGGACTTAATTGGGCCCTTGGAAACTTCATTTTTCTTTGTCAGAACCAAAACCCTAGTTTTTGACTGTTAGGAGGCCCTTGAACTGTGCAACCCTTGGGGAGATTTTGAAGCATGCTTTGGCAAATCTTGAAGAATATGGGAGGGCAAATTTTGGGGTACAACATAATAGTATTTTAAAATTATTTTTTTAATCTTTGATTTTATACACTTAATAGTCAAGTTGTTAAAAATAATTGAAAATTTTCAAAATCAATTTTTATTAATCACCAAATCAATCACAATATTGAGAAAAATCACAAAAGTGTCTAGGTACATCATCTTGTCCTCCAAATTTCAATGAAATCTCAATTGATATAAATCTTTCCAACAAAATCACTTTTTTATTATTAAATTATTATTTTCGTATTTTTTAATTAATAAATTTTCAAAAATAGTTTTTTTCCCACTTTTTGATTGATTTCTCATTGGTCAGAGTTTGTAGACTTGTTGAACAAAATAAAATCATAAAATTTGGGCTTTTCTTGGTGTGGACTATTTCCTTTTTGGGGTGTCTTTAACAAAATTTCAAATTTATAAATAGGTCTCTCTTCATCATAATTTTTCATCAACAATTTTCTATCTCTCTCACAAACATTCTTTCTACGCAACTCTCTTGGTTAATTTTAGAGTTTTGAACATAACACTTAAAATTTTTCCATCAACAATCATTTGGAGGATCAACAACTACTTGGAGAATCAATAATAATTTGCAGATCAACAACTCACTAGAGTTCTCTTAAAAATTGTTGCTCTTCATATCGAAGAAGAACAACAAAGAAATCATGAAGCCTCCATCAACACTCTTTTGGTGATCAACAATCTTATTAATAATTTTTAGGGTTATAAACAGAAAACCTAAAATTTTTCTCACAATTGAAGGACGAGTTTTCTAACGCTATCACACTCAACCTCTCTCTTCGAATGCTTCCCGTCAGGTGTCACCTCTCTTTTTTCCTTTTTTTTTGTTTCATGAAAGAGAAACTATGTTTGGTTGTTCTTCTAATATAAGTTGTTTATGTTTTTATTATAGTATATGTTGTTATTATAATATGTGTTGGTATTATAATATTGGTTGTTATTATAATTGGTGACCTTTGTAAATCAAATTGTGTTGCTACTTAGAAGCAAGTGGCGGTACGTCTCCCTTATCCTTCTTCTGTTGTTATTTATTTATTTATTTATTTTTATTAATTAGTTATTGTTACTAATTTAATTATTTATTAGAATTATGATTAATGATGGACTTGGACCCTCCTCTTTTAATCCACACCCCCTCCACGCATGTGGACCAAGTTCAATTTCTGAACTTGGATCCTTAATTATTGCACCCTTAATTTTACTAAGTCATTGTAAAACGACACTCTCCTACGCTTTGCGCCCAAGTTCAATATCTGAATTTATGGTCTTACTCTTCATACCCCTAGCCTTTTACTAACTAACTGAAAATACCCCCTGTGTAAATTAATTAAAATTATATTTTTATATTTTCTTTTATTTATCAATTTATTTATTTATATTTTCATAATTAAAATTTATTTTATAATAAATTCTAAATTTCTTTATTTACTAATTCAAATCTTTTTTACCAACCCATTTAAACATCTTTTTTAATTGCATTAAAATCTTTTTTTTCTCATGCATTAAAAAGATTTTTTTTATATTAATATATTTGAAAAATATCTAACCAATTAAATTACTAACACTTTTCACTAACCTAATTCAAACCTTATATCTATTTTCAAAAAGGATTATGGAGATATTTCTCATTAATTGCGAACTTCGTCTAACAACTCCACAATTTACAAATCCATACTTGGTTCAAGGATTAATTCGAGACATTCCCATAATCCATAAAAAACACCAACCAATAAATACGAACTACAAATTGGGACTTTGATTCCTCATAAGAGGATACATATGCATACGACTAAAATTGTGGCGAGTTCCCCTACCTATTTCCTAAGTCGTAATTCTAAACCCTAGTATCCTTGTGAACAAGGTAGATGAGGGATGCCTAACACCACCCTTCGTCTAAGAACGAGTCAAACAACTTAGAATCTCTGACTAAATTAGGGTTATCCGTTATATTTCATTCCCTAGAATAAAAATTAATGGTGGCGACTCTCATTTCAAAACCGACTACAATAATCGGTCAGAGTGGCAGCGATTTTAACCATAAAGGAAGAGAGATATAATGACGGTGGGTCAAGGAAATGGTGGCGGGACTTCCATGGAATTTTTTTTTATTTGTAGCAGAAACATAAATATTTTCTTAATTGGTTTATTGAAAAAGAAAATGCATGGCTTAATATAGGGTGTTGGATTGATCAAACGGTACATGTTGATTGAAAGGCAGGGTGACTTTTCCGTGTTAAAGTCATCTAAGTCTGACCCCTTTTGCCCATACAATGCAGTGAACAAACTTTGACGGAGTACTAGTGATAGTAAAGACTGGATAAGTCTTGGGGGATGGTTTAGGCTGACACTAATAGCACTCTGTTCGTCCCTTGACATGCACTGTAACCTGACTAAGAAACCCAATAGTTCCAATTTCAACTAAAGGAACGTCAGTTGTCAAACACAGGCGATTCACATGTCGACGTGCATCTATATTGTTCAGTCCATTAAGAACAACATTAAATTCCTTAAAGAAGTCCACTTCGAAATCAGGATCTTTAACATTTGCATGATATGATATAATGTTTATCTTGGGCCTAAATTTTAAAACAGTATCCCTAGCAACTTTAGCCTTGGACTGCCCAACATGGAATTGTCTGAACAAAAATTGTTTGTTCAGGTTACTGACTTCTATAGTGCCAATGTCAATTATGTGTATATCGGAGAAACCAGAGAGAGCGAGAGTCTTGAGAAGCTCACATCCAGTTCCATCGGCACCAACCATGAGAACTTTTGCATCTTAAATGGTTGTTGAAGTTGATGAAGTTGCGCTCAAAGGGTCGTAAATATTCATTCATTCATTCCCTTTAGCAAGTTTAAGCTTTATATAACACACTCTCTGATTGAAACAAACAAAGTGGATCCTGCGGAATACCGTAGATGCTTAGGGTGATAATACCTTCTCTTTGTATAATCGAACCCCGCACCTTGATCTCTATTCTATTTAATTTTGGATTTTATTTGCTCTTTCCCATTTTCCCTTTGAAAACAATAAAGTGCGGTGACGACTTTCACTGATATGAGTTAAGTTAATTAATGGCTTAGTCTCAAACTTTTACCGCTAGATTTTTGCATATGTAGTGTGACACTTTGTATGTACTCAATCAGATCCTACAATTGACACGCATGCATTAATTGATAAAGGGCCACTTGAAAATTTCCCTCCCACTCCAAAAAGGCTGTCACGTGATGCATCCGTTTCTCATTCAAACCTTTTTGTACGCTCGAGCACCTTTTTACTTTAAAACCTTTTTCCAGATTAGACATGATTCATTTATAATTGAGATGTTATTCCTCTATCCCCATGGTTGTCGAGTTCTCCAGTTGAGTACTATAGGCGTTCTTAAACCCTCCCTCATGTTGGTGCGTAGTCTTTCTTTCTTATATTTTGTGGGCGATTAGACGAGTCTTATCCTTAAAAATACCGACTTGTTCCTTCTTTTAAAATCAATCCCCACATCGAGTTTTGTTCTTTTTGAAAAGAACTACGAGTGTCCTAATCCCTTATTGCATGAAAGGGGTACATAGACATAAATGTTCACAACCGCGGCAGACACAATAATAAAAAAAAACATCTCTTTTATTTGTAAATACTCATTCATTCATTTTCCTTCAGCAAGTTTAAGCTTTAGATAACACACTCTTTGAATAAAACAAACAAAATGGATCATGCGGAGTATCATAGATGCTTAGGGTACTAATACCTTCCTTTTGCATAATCGACTTCGGTACCTTGATCTCTATTTTATTTTATTTCGGGTTTTATTCGCTCTTTTCCCTTTAGAAAAAATAAAGTGCGGTGACAACTTCATTGTGTGAGTTAAGTCAATTAATGATGGCCGACTTAGAAAAGATTTGTTAGACTGAAAAGTGAAGGCCCAATTGGGAAGCCCATGGACAGATGCATCACGTAATATCCTTTTTAGAGTGGGAGGGAAATTTGCAAGTGGCCCTTTATCAATTGATGCATGCGTGCCAGGTGTAGGCAGAGGCATATCAATTCGTGACCGCGCATTAGGACTCGTGGCATGGTTGGAAACAGGTCGGCTAGGGAAAACTTGAATATCACGTGAAACCAAATGGGAAACAATCATATTTTTTGATGGTGGGGATTGAATAGTCAGAGAATCCAATGAATTGGATGGGCCCGATGAATGGATAGTCAATGTTGGGACTGCGAACTGTATTTACTTTGGAATGGTTTCCAACATGAGAGGTACTTTAAGGGAACATGTAAGTCTTGTAACTCATTTATCACTTCACTTGCACTCCGTTCCTTTCCCACAAACTTCTTCTATATCTATCTCTCTCCCTCTTTTTTGTCTTCAAGATTTCCTTCTTCCTTCTGCATGTTAGCTATTCCTTTATCTCTTGTTTCAATGTCCTTCGAATAAGAGGAATGGTTCTCCAAGTCCCTTAAAGCTGCAAGATCAGTGGTAAAAGGAAGAATCGAGTAAATTTATGGTAACCATGGTAAGCCTTTAGCTGAGAAACATGAACAACCAGATGGATCTTGGATTCGGGTTGCAGCTCTAGGTCGTAGCGGACGGCTCCGATCCGGCGGAGCACCTTGAAGGGTCCAAAATAGCGCTTTGAGAGATAAAACCACAATAATGTCATATACAAATATGGAAGTTCTTTCTCTCTCTGTCACACTCACCAAATCTCAAACCTTTCCCTCTCTCAAACAACCACTTCACCAACTTCCAATAACCACAACACTACCCAACAAAATCAATCTTTCTTCTTCTTCCATTTCATGTAACTCCTCTTTTACCAGAATCTCGGCAACGAATGCACAACCATCAATTTCACAAACCAATATGTTGTTTCCTGCAGGAAATTCAAAGCATTGGATTGTTAGAATGGATAAGCCTGGTGTTGGTGTTGTTACCAAAGCTCAGATTGTTGATTATTATGCTCAAATTTTGACCAAGGTTATGGGAAAGTAAGGACACTCATTACTCAACTCTACTTTATCTGCTGTTTTTTATTAGGTTTATTGCTTTCACTAAAACTAGATGAAAATGGTGTGTGCAGTGAAAAAGATGCACAAATGTGTTTGTATCATGTTTCTTGGAAAACCAACTTTGGCTTTTGTTGTGAAATTGATGAGGAGTGTGCACTTGAGTTAGCTGGTTAGTCTTGTGGGTTTTTAACCTTTTGTTTCATAGTTTAAATTGCTGAATTGAATGAAATTTGAGAGGTTTGTTGTGATGCAGGTGTGCCTGGTGTCTTGTCAGTTCAGCCAGACCATAATTTTGAGTCTGAAAATAAGAATTATGAAGGTTTGTTTGTTTTGTAACTTCCCTGCAATTTTGTCTTTGGGAGCTTCTTCATAATGCTATGATTTTAACTTAATATAACTTATGTGGCATGTGTGATTTGTGTTCTTGTATCTTGAATGATATTTTGTATTAGTTTATACTCCCCCTGTTCAAAATAACTGAGGTCTTAGGTTTTTTCAGTGATTAAGAAAAACAATTAATGCGCAGTGGATTCAGGGCCGTCTTTGAGGGCTTGCAAGGTGGACTATCACACAAGACCCAAAATTTGTCACGATTAAACCTTGGCTAAATAAGGTCTCATAAAATGTTTGTCACAGTTAAACTATAGTTAAATAGGACCTTTATTTGTTTTGTCATAGTTAAACTGCAACAAATCTATACAGGACCTCCAAAAACTTGAGACAACTTTGTGGAGCATTACTTGCAAGTTGTGTGTACATACATTAATTTATGGGTAGAATTGGAAAGAAATAATGAATGCCACATTGAAAAAGCAAAACAACACTAATTTTAAAGTATTTTTTGTATGCTAAGTCGACAGTTTTTGTTGAAAGTTGGAACAGACCACTTTGTAGTTGTAACCAGTTCTTTGTGTTGGTTTTTGGTTTTGGCTGATCTCACGGGTATAGCTTGCTTGCATTGAATAGTCTTTTTGCAGTATAAACTTTGGAATAGTCAGACCCTTTACCTTTGCATCATAAAATAGACAAGTCTATCTGTTAAAATTCGTGCACGCTTAAGCCACTCTAGGAATTTAAAATATAGAATCCGAACACTAATATTGCATGTTTGGACCCTAAAGTCCAATATATACCAGAGACGAAACATAATTTTGTAGATTCATCCGTTTTTCAATGATTCTAGCACATGTTTATGCACTACAAAGTACAAACCTAATTGAATGTTATTGACTATGTATGAAAGTACATATGGAATAGTAGTTCAATCAGTTTTCTTCCAAATTTAAATTGTCTTTCATTGAGGAATCGATTTTCATTGACATTGAATTTTGTTTCTTCTTGGTATTCTACTTTGTTATGTTAGTCATATGACATTTTTGTTCTTTAATTTTCTACCGACTACATATGTCCAGGTAGAAACTTGGAAAATAGGCTGAATGTGCCTAGTTCTTTGGAAGAAACTCAGGAAACTCCAGTGAAAACGAAGAAACTTTTTGTGACAGGTATGCTATGCTCGCAAAATTCATTCTAAGCTACTATAGACCGTGTTTCAACTTTTTATCTCATGTTCACGTGGCTATTTCACTAATATCTTGTTTGAATCACTTTGTCAATAGAAGCATAAATTATTATTCGGGAGCATTTTTTTATTGCATGGGATGATACAGTACTATTTGAGAATTGAGAATAACTTGTCTTTTGAACAGGGCTATCATTTTATACATCTGAGAAAACCTTACGTGCTGCATTTGAAGGCTTTGGTGAGCTTGTTGAAGGTGATTTCAATATTTACTATCTGAAGTAAGAACTAAAATTTTGTCTCCGCTTTTTCTAATAAATAAATGATTATGTTTGACAGTTAAAGTCATCATAGATAAAATTTCAAAAAGGTCCAAGGGTTATGCATTTATTGAATATGCTGCAGAAGAGGCTGCAAGTGCAGCACTCAAAGAGATGAACAACAAGGTAAATCCATCTTTCTTTCTTGCATGAAAAATGCAACTTTGTTTTAAGTTGGTTCTGCTTCGGCATGCTCATGGAGAAAGAAAAATAATAAGGGTTTATAACTGAACAAAAAGAAGTATAGTAGTGTATAACAATTTTATTCTGAGTGCAGATTATTAATGGCTGGATGATAGTGGTAGATGTTGCTAAGACTACCCCGCCAAGATACAACAAAGGTCGCGCCAGACCATCTGCATGATAAGAAAACAAAGTATGTAAGGTATTTGCTTAATACTTACCAGCTCTACTGAAATGAACTCCGTTTATTACTACATATGCTCCAGGGAAGCGAACATATTTGCCAGATTTTCTACTGGTTGTGTGAGATTAAGCATGCTGCAATGGACAGACTAGCGATATTGTAGCCTACACTGGCATGGCAGCTGGCCTTATGTTAAGGTACTGAAAAGATGGGAGAAGTTTGGGGTCTGGATTCTTATTGTTATGCCTTTGGACATTAGAGAAATCAGTTAAAATTTTAACACAATTTTGGTTGAGATATGTATTTCAAGAAAATAAAACTTAGGAAACATAAAGCTCTTTGGTCTAAATTTCCATATTCTCTTTGCTTAATTATTATGTATGATCAAATAGGAATTGTGATGCTTATTTCTCTTCGATTTCTTTGGCGTTATGAAGGAAAAGGCAATTTGCTTTTACTTTGAAAAGGGTCACTTATGTTGGTGCTACTAACAAGAATCCTGTAAATAAACTCTGTTACTGTGTAAACACGGCACAATCACATTCTCTTAAATCTTGTTAGATATATAAGCATTGCAATCATCAATTTCTAACTTTCTATGGCTATGACTATAGAGGTAATTCAATAGTTTTCAACTTCAATCAAAATTCCAAAATCCAAATCTAAATACTGATAATGCCTTAGAAATGTGCTAACAATAGAATGAAACTGAGTTAGTTTGTGAAAAAACTTCAACAGAAACTAGTTTTATCGATCTTTACATAAATTGTTGGGCATGGCAGTACATACTTAAAAAAAAGGGGTTGTGTTTAGGGTATGATATCATAGAAGTCAGTAGTACCAAAAACTTTTTGACAGAGCCAGTGAATGAAAGTTAAGTATTGAGCATGAAATGGAAGTGCATGAACTGAGGCAATTCTGGTTACAAATGGCTCTGTCAAATCCCTTTTCTGTGTGATGAGATGAGCACCATTCCATATATTTAACCTAGTGCAAAAGGTACTTTTTGTCGTAAGGTGGAGGCGATCATTAGTGTCAGACCAATTAAAGAAATCTTGTATTGTAACTTTTGCTGGAAAGTGAGCTCTACTGTGTTCATGAGCTCCCCAAATAGTGTTGAAATATCCAATAAAACAACAGAGGCAGCTGATGTTGAGATTGCAGGGCATCTAAAGAAATCCAAATTTGTCTTCTCATAATGTAATTAGTTCAGGCACAAATAGCAGAATGCCAAAATGGTTACCACATTACTCAGCTGCAAATGAAACTTGTTGATCAGTAGAGGCAACAACAATTGGCTGCAAATTATCTTTAAAGGAGTTGTTTCCTTTAGTGATAGGAAGTTTTCCTATCAAAATTATTAATTATGAGAAGAACATTAAAATGACAAAATAGAATAAAAGGAAATAAAGAGAATTTTTCATTTGATTCTTGATACTTAATGTCTCAATGAGTCTATAATATATAGTACTTCTAATGATAATAAACTTAAAGTCTCAAATACTACTAAAAATTTAATTCAACCAAACATTCAAAGTAAAATAACAATTAATATTATATTATTAATTGTCGCCAAACATTAAAGTACTTCTCGCCGCCGCCGTCTCTTCTTGACACCGCCACCATGCTCGTTGTCGCCGCTTCTTCTTGATGTTGCCACCATGCTTGCCGTCGCCTTCTGCCATCATTGTACTCTTCGTCTCCGCCTCGTATCAACCACCACTGCGTTCGTGATCTCCATCTCGTCTTGCCGCCACCATGGGTCCGTCCTCTCTATTTCGTCTTCACATCTACAAAGAAGCATAACAACACCTACCAATAATGAAAATGATGAAAAAAATGATGAAAGTGTTGGCTTTCTGAGCGAAGGATTTACATGCATTATGGTCGGTGTCATACCATATATTTGCCTGTCACATTTTTAAAATTTTTAAATTATTTTTAAATTTGGTTTCATATTTTTTTTTAGATATTAATAACATTTGGTTTAACGGTAATTTATTTTGCTTATTTAAAATATATAATAATTTACTTTAAATTATTTGTGTTTTTAAAATAGTAAAATATTTTTCCACCTTCATATGCTTCTATATGTCTTTTTATATCAAAATAGAATGACATGGCATAATTGGTAAGAGAGTAAGACTTGCTAGTAACTTGAAGGTTTTGAGTTCATGTCTTGTTACACTAATTTTTTGTATTTATTTTCTTTTGTGTGTTTTTTCAATAAAAAAGATAAAAAAAATTATTTTTCAATTATTTTATTATTATTTTTGTTTTCTACTTTAATGAATTTTAAAATTATTTTTTTAAATCTTTGTTTTTATACACTTAATAGTCAAGTTGTTAAAAATAATTGAAATCTTTTAAAATCAAATTTTATTAATCACCAAATCAATCACAATATTGAGAAAAATCACAAAAGTGTCTAGGTTCATTATCTTGTCCTCCAAATTTCAATTAAATCTCAATTGGAATAAATCTTCCAAAAAAAATTACTTTTTTTATTATTAAATTATTATTTTCGTATTTTTTAATTAATAAATTTTCAAAAATAGTTTTTTTCCTACTTTTTTTAATTTTTAATTAAAAAAAATCAAAAAATCATATAAAATATAAAAATAACAAAATCACATGATTTGTCACTTTTTGAATGGTCACATGTTGACAAAATTAATTTCTCATCGGTCAGAATTTGTAGACTTGTTGACCAAAATAAAATCATAAACTTTGAGTTTTTCTTGGTGTGAACTATTTCTTTTTTGGGGTGTCTTTAACATAATTTCAAATCTATAAATAGGGCTCTCTTCATCATAATTTTTCATCAACAATTAAATCAACAATTTTCTATCTCTCTCACAAACATTCTTTCTACGCAACTATCTTGACTAATTTTAGGGTTTTGAACATAACACTTAAAAATTTTCCATCAACAATCATTTGGAGAATCAACAATCACTTGGAGAATCAATAATAATTTATAGATCAACAACTCACTAGATTTCTCCTAAAACTTGTTGCTCTTCATATCGAAGAAGAACAACAAAGAAATTCTGAAGTCTCCATCAACACTCTTTTGATAATCAACAATCTTATTAACAATTTTTAGGGTTCTACACAGAAAACCTAAAATTTTCTTACAATGGAGGGCGCGTTTTCTAACACTATCACACTAAACATCTCTCTTCGAATGCTTTCTGTCAGGTGCCACCTCTCTTTTTTCCTTTTATTTGTTTCATGAAAGAGAAGCTATGTTTGGTTGTTCTTCTAATATAAGTTGTCTATGTTTTTATTATAATATATGTTGTTATTATAATATGTGTTGGTATTATAATATTGGTTGTTATTATAATTGGTGGCCTTTGTAAATCAAATTGTGTTGCTACTTAGAAGCAAGCAGCACTACGTCTCCCCTATCCTTCTTCTGTTGCTTTTTATTTATTTATTTATTTTCATTAATTAGTTATTGTTACTAATTTAATTATTTATTAGAATTATGATTAATGACGGGCTTCAACCCTCCTCTTTTAATCCACACCCCTCCACGCATGTGGGTCAAGTTCAATTTCTAAACTTGGATCCTTAATTACTGCACCCCTAATTTTACTAAGCCATTGTAAAACGACACCCCTACGCTTTGGGCCCAAATTCAACATCTGAATTTAGGGTCTTCCTCTTCATAACCCCAACATTTTACTAACTAACTGAAAATATACCCCTGTTAAAATTAATTAAAATTATATTTTTTTATATTTTCTTTTACAAATAAGTTCTAAATTTCTTTATTTACTAATTCAAATCTTTTTTACCAACCCATTTAAATATCTTTTTTAATTACATTAAAACCATTTTTCCTCATGCATTAAAAAGATTTTTTTATATTAATATATTTAAAAAATATCTAACCAATTAAATTACTAACACTTTCCACTAACCTAATTCAAACTTTATATCTATTTTCAAAAAGGATTATGGAGATATTTCTCATTAACTGCGAACTTCGTCTAACATCTCCGCAATTTACAAATTCATACTTTGTTCAAGGATTAATTCGAGATATATAATCCATAAAAAATACCAACCAACAAATACGAACTACGAATTGGGACTCTGATTCCTCATAAGAGGATACATAGGCATACGACTAAAATCGTGGACGAGTTCCCTTACCTATTTCCTAAGCCGTAATTCTAAACCCTAGTATCCTTGTGAACAAGCTAGATGAGGGATGCCTAACACATTCCCTTCGTCTAAGAACGAGTCAAACAACTTAGAATCTCTGGACAAATTAGGGTTATCTGTTATATTCCATTCCATGGGATAAAAATTAATGGTGGCGACTCTCATTTTAAAGCCGATTACAAGAGTCGGCCAGAGTGGCGGTGATTTTAACCACAAAGACAGAGAGATATAATGGCGGTGGGTCAAGGAAATGGTGGCGGGACTTCCATGGAGTTTTTTTATTTGTAGCAAAAACACAAATTTTTTCTTAATTGGTGGAGGGCTTAATATGGGATGTTGGATTGATCAAACGGTACATGTTGATTGAAAGGCAGGGTGACTTTCCTGGGTTAAAGTCATATAAGCCTGATCCCTTTTGCCCATACAATACAATGAACAAACTTTGACATAGTACTAGTGATAGTAAAGACTGGATAGGTCTTGGGGGCTGGTTTAGGCTGACACTCATAGCACTCTGTTCGTCCCTTGACATGCACTGTAACCTGACCAAGAAACCCAGTAGTTCCACTTTAAACTAAAGGAACATCAGTTGTCAAACACAGGCGATTCACATGTCGACGTGCATCTAGATTGTTGAGTCCATTAAGAACAAGATTAAATTCCTTAAAGAAGTCCACGTCGAAATTGGGATCTTTGACATTTGCATGATATGATGTAACGTTTATCTTGGGACTAAATTTTAAAACAGTATCCCTAGCAACTTTAGCCTTGGACTGCCCAACATGGAATTGTCTGAACAAAAATTGTCTGTTCAAGTTACTGACTTATATAGTTTCAATGTCAATTATGTGTATATCAGATAAACCAGAGAGAGCGAGAGTCTTGAGAAGCTCGCATCCAGTTCCACCGACACCAACCATGAGAACTTTTGCATCTTAAAGGGTTGTTGAAGTTGATGAAGTTGCACTCAAAGGTTTGTTGTAGAGGATGGTGAGGGAATCTCCCATCATTGTTTGGAAGAGCATAGGTAGTCAAGGTTTGGGATACATAGTTTCCATGGATGTGATTTGTTTGTAGCGTGAATGAAAAAGGGGATTTTAGGGTTTTGGTTTGTAGAGGAAAGGAAAATAGATTCAGAGGTATTGTGAATTGGAAAAGTTTTGAGACTTTTTTTGAGATCTTTTCTTAAAAGAGAGATGAGACACTTGTAAATGCTTCTCAAAATCTCTTTTAATTGTGGAGGAGGTTTTTGTTGGTTGTAGCGGTTGATGATAATTATTGTAGTAGCATGAATAATGAGATAATGAATATGATGAATATTAGTTAGGTAGAGGTGGTGTATACCCATGATTAAAATACAAATATGGATTTGTAACATGTGGATTTATGGAATAAGATGAGAAAATTTCCCATGGAATAAGGGGTAGTCAAGTTTTGTTCTTTTTGAGAAGAACTACGAGTGTCCTAATCCCTTATTACACGGAGGGGGTACATAGATACAAAGATTCATAACCGCGGCGGGATCAATAATAAAAAACATTTCTTTTGTTTGTAAATATTCATTCATTAATTCCCTTTAGCAAGTTTAAGCTTTATATAACACACTCTCTGATTGAAACAAATAAAGTGGATCATGCGGAGTACCGTAGATGCTTAGGGTGCTAATATCTTCCCTTTATATAACTGACCCCCGTACCTTAATCTCTATTCTATTTAATTTTGGGTTTTATTCTCTCTTTTCCCATTTTCTCTTTGGAAACAATAAAGCGCGGTGACGACTTTCACTGATATGAGTTAAGTCAATTAATGGCTTAGTCTCAAATTTTTACCGTTACATTTTTGCATATGTAGTGTGAAACTTTGTATATACTCAATCAGATCCTACAACTGGCACACATGCATCAATTGATAAAGGGCCACTTGCAAATCTCCCTCCCACTCCAAAAGGCTGTCACGTGATGCATCTGTTTCTCATTCAAACCTTTTTGTACGCTCGAGCACCTTTTTCCTTTAAAACCTTTTTCTAGATTAGACATGATTCATTTATAATTGAGATGTTATTCCTATATCCCCATGGTTTTTGAGTTCTCCAATTGAGTACTAGAGGCGTTCTTAAATCCTCCCTCACGTTGGTGCGTAGTCTTTCTTTCTTATATTTTGTGGACGATTAGACGAGTCTTCTCCTTAAAAATGACGATTTGTTTCTTCTTTTAAAATCAATCACCACATCGAGTTTTGTTCTTTTTGAGAAGAATTACAAGTGTCCTGATCTCTTATTGTATGAAAGGGGTACGTAGGCATAAATGTTCCCAACTGTGACAGACACAATAATAAAAAACATCTCTTTTGTTTGTAAATACTCATTCATTCATTCATTCATTCATTTTCCTTTAACATGTTTAAGCTTTAGATAACACACTCTTTAAATAAAACAAACAAAGTGGATCATGCGGAGTACCGTAGATGCTTAGGGTGCTAATACCTTCTCTTTGCATAACTGACTCCCGTACCTTGATCTCTATTTTATTTTATTTTGGGTTTTATTCGCTCTTTTCCTATTTTTCCTTTAGAAACAATAAAGTGCAGTGGCGACTTCATTGTGTGAGTTAAGATAATTAATGGTGGCCCACTTAAGAAATATTTGTTGAACTGAAAATTGAAGGCCCTATTGGGAAGCCCATGGACAGATGCATCACGTAATAGCATTTTTGGAGTGGGAGGGAAATTTGCAAGTGGCCCTTTATCAATTGATGCATGCGTGCCAGCTGTAGGCAGAGGCATGTCAATTCGTGACAGCGCATTGGGACTCGTGGCATGGTTGGAAACAGGATGACCATGGAAAACTTAAATATCACGTGAAACCAAATGGGAAACAATCATATTTTTATGGTGGAGATTGAATAGTCAGAGAATCCAATGAATTGGATGGGCATGATGAAGTTGTATAGTCAACATTGGGACTGCGAACTGTATTTACTTAGGAACATTGTCCAACATGAGAGGTACTTAAGAGAACATGTAAGTCTTGTAACTCATTTATCACCACACTTGCACTCCGTTCCTTTCCCATAAAATTTTTCTTCTCTCTCTCTCTCTTACTTATTTGTCTTTAAAATTTCCTTCTTCCTTCTGCATGTTAGTTATTCCTTCATCTCTTGTTTCAATGTCCTTCAAATCAGAGGAATGGTTCTCCAAGTCCCTTAAAGCTGCAAGATCAATGGTAAAAGGCAAAATCGAGTAAAGTTATGGTAACCATGATAAGCCTTTAGCTGAGAAACATGAACAACCAGATGGATATTGGATTCGGGCGACAACTCTAGGTCGTAGGCGATGGCTCCGATCCGGCGGAGCACCTTGAAGGGTCCAAAATAGCGCTTTGAGAGCTTCTGAGAAGTGCGCTGGTTCACTGTCACTTACCAGTATGGTTGAAGCCGAAGTAACACTAGATCTCCAACCTCAAAGGTACAATCGATATGTTTCTTGTTAATTTAAGCTATCATTTTTTTCTACTTTCCTCAAAGTTTTGTTTCGAAGTACTCAAAATCTTGTCTCTGTTGTAGTGTGGTGTCCAGATTCAGAATCGTGGTTAGCTCATGAAGATACTGCGAAAGGAAGGAGGTTATCGTCCGTACAGTGCTTCAAATAGGGACATTTTGCTGAACAAATGATGTGATGTGTTGTGCCAATACTCTGCAAGGTGTAAGTAATTAAACCATTGTTTTGGGTTGTCACTAGTAAAGCATCCGAGATAAGCTTTTAAACTACAATTAGCCACTTCTGTTTGACCGTCTGTTTCAGGGTGATATGCGGAACTAAACTTTAGAGTGGTACCCTACACACGAAACAATTCTTTCCAGAAGTTACTCAAAAATAAGGGATCTCGATCAGAAACAAAGGACTCGGTGATGTCGTGTAGGCGGCGAATTTCCACTGAAAAATGTTTAGCAAGGTCTCGGGCAGAAAACTTGGTCGATAGCGCCAGGAAATGCACAAACTTTGTCAACCGGTCACAAATCACTCATATTACCGTATGACCAAAGGACGATGGTAAATGGTGCTGAAGCGGTAAAGCAGAAAGCAAAAGTAAGTATTTTTATAAGGTATATCATATCTTCTCCACAGAGATTAGTGCTACTGACTTGTCGTTCGACAATTTCTCGCGTTTATGAGTTTAAGTTTAATGGGTTTAAAGCATAAGGTGCGGGAATTTAAAAGTTATGAACATGAAATAAATTCATTCTTCAGAGGATGAACTTATCAGGTATGCATATATAATTCACTTCTCACAAACATAAACCTATTGACCAGTTATACTCAACCTACAATACTCATCAATATCATCATGTGTCAAACACAACACCCACTATATCATCTGAGCCGCGATCTCTCAACCAACCTCGACAACATAGAAGTCAACCGTGCTAATCGCCTCAACGATCTCTCAACACGACACAACCAAAATAAAGGCATTAATCACAGACACCCAAATGAATAATAACACTAAATCTATCTCTAGAATCTAGACATTATTATACAATCATCCTAGATAAGAGTTCAAGCAGTATATGTATATAACAACCCAAACCCCAAGCACAGCGCAAAAATCCAGGACAATAATCAACAAAGATTTGTAAAGTAAGTTTTATACAACGCCATGAGCGACAAATATACACGCGTTCAAAGTAAATACATATACAAACTCAACACATAAAGAATACACAAAGAAGAAGAGAAATAAACCACAAATCTACCGGTTTATCAGCGTCGATCGAAGAGCAGTCCATCCCAGATCATCCGTATACAAGCTTCAATATTATTTTATAAGCTAATCCTATCAAAAAATGAAGGTTGATGAAGTTAGGATAAAAAATACTCAAAACCATCCCTAAAAAAAAGAGTTTTTACCCCTAAATATGCATTCCTGCCTGGCCCGTATCGCCCGACAACAAAAAAGCATCGCATGACGCTCAAAATTGGGTTTTTTCCATGCTTCTGGTCGCCCAAGCGTCGCCCGGCGAGCTCGGGGCGATAGCTGACAGTAAGTTGAAAACCAACACAATTTCAGCCCTAACTTGAGAACCGTAATTCTCATTCGCGCACGGTCAAAAGCGTTGGAAATCTTATTCAATGATCTATCTAATAATACATAAATATCAATGCTTGAATACGTACTAAAATGAGATAAAATCAATTAAAATCAATGATATTTATACTATAACACAATATATACACTATAACGTAAATTATACCAAATATATACTAAAGTTGATATTTATTAACAAAAAATAAACGAAATAAGTTGATGAGTGTTAATTATTCATACTAAAAAACATAACAATTTAGAACTCATCAAATGGGTAATGAAATCCATTGAGAGTTCATCCTAAACAAGGGTTGGAATTTCTAAAGGTTGTAGTAAGCCCTGTTTTTTCTTTGTCATATATTTGCTTTGTTGACACACACTACAATGTTTTATTAAATGATTTACATCCTTGTAGATCCCAGGCCATAAGAAGGAAGATGAGAGACGAGCTAGAGTTGGTTGAAATCCCAAATGTCCTGCAACTGGGGTGGAATGAAATTTAGTGAGGACGGCTTGCCTGAGTTCCTGTACTGAAGGTATGCAAATTTTATTTTGATAATACAAAATGTCATTCTTGAGCTGAAACTTGTTAGTCAGAGATGAGTCTTTGTTCACAGTTGCTATGAGATTCTGACCATGTGGATCTGTTTTGTAGTAACTGGGTGACCAGTAGTGGAACTGGAGAAGAAATGGAAAGGAGGACTGCTTCATCTTTTGTTTGAACTCAGCTAAGTGCGTTAGTAACCTGATTTGACTTCCCAGGTTTGTAAAAAATGTCAAAGCTAAAACCCTACAATTTTGCTACCTATTTCTGTTGTTCTCGGGTCTGGAAAATATTCCCTTTGATGCCTTCCATTTGTAACATGTACCAACACTTGATGAAACCCGCCTTATGTCATAACATGTACCAACACTTGATGAAACCCGTCTTATTTAATGTATTCGATGCAAACAGAAGAATAAAAAAGAACAAAGCTTACTAATTGATGTATTTACTCTCTTTTTGCAAAGTAATTGGTTTACTAAAAAAACCCAACAAAAACAGTCCAATCTTAAATTAAATTTCAAGAATTGAAAGCTAGCAATAGAATAAAACAAATATTAAAAGGTGGCCTTAAGTTAATTTTTGGGATGCAAAACTAGAATTTGAAGCGTTTGGAGGTATAAAAAAGGTAATGTTTTCAATGAGAGCATCAATTGATATCAAGTTTTCCTATCAAAATTATAAATTAAAATTTCTACATTAATGAGGAAAGAGTATTAAAATGACAAAATAAAATAAAAGAAAATAAATAGATTTTTTCATTTGATTTTTGATATCTAATGTTTCAACGAGATTACAATATATAAATTGTTTATAAATTTAAAGACTTAAACACTATTAAAAGTCCAATTCAATTAAACATTCAAAAATAAAATAACAATTAATATTATAAAATATTCTTTACCGAGTAGACTATGCTTGCATTACATGTTTCTAATTCTATAAAATATTCTTCGTCATGTATGAAGATTGTTATCCTATCTCCTTTAACAACCAGTTGAGATCAATGGCATAATGAAATATCACACATATATTATTTAGGAATTGAATAAAAATTTTGGTCTGGATGCTGGCTTAGGTTTGCTGGGTGCGGTCGTGATTTTTGGTCGATATTTAAAATACAATTAGGCCTGTTTGTTTTTTAAGTTAATTTTTTTTTTTAAATTCAAAATTAAAATATGGTCAAAATTATTTTAAAAAAAGTTGTAGTTAAAATAAATTTTAAGAATAATTATTTAAATATTTTTTTTAAGTTTGTATAAAAATTTTTAAACAAAAATATATAATATCATAAAAATTATTTTTTTTAAAAAAACTGAAAAAGCTTATCCTGAGTTTCAAAGAAATGTTGCAATGGATGGAAACAAGCATAAATAGTGCAAAAGAAGAATACTTTAGTTGAAGAACACTTTGTCATCAAAGCTTCACTATCTCTTTGATTTTCCTTTCAAAAAATAAAAACTACATTTCAGCAAAGTTAAAAAGAGAAAAATAAATAAATAATAAAAAGAATAATAATTAAGTGATCAATTCTCCTTTAAAAATTAATTCTTTATTTGGACGAATGATAAAAATATAGTTATCTTTATAGTTATCATTCTTATATTAATAGTAGATTTTCCAATTATTCTTCAAATAAAGTTATTATTATTTTTAAAAACATTAATCAATATTAAATTTTGCAAATAAATTTTATATCAAGAGATTACCGGTGTTAACATTTTTACTTATAAATAGGATCCGAGAGATTATAAAGTTTCGCACTATCAATCTATTTTTGTTCATCAATGACGAAGCAAGTTTTCATCACTCTTCACCCTTTACTACTACTTCTTCTTTTCACTTTAATAACAACAGGCATGGACTGATTCAATTAAATAGATTTGACTTTTTCATTTCTAATGGTTCATAATTGTGTTAGTTAATGTTGCAGATGTGGTAGAAGGGACTAAGAAAACATATGGGGTATATGACAACAACAACAATGTAAAATTGTTTGTATTTAGATACTCATATATAAATACTGGCAATTTCTTGAACTCATCATCATATAAACATCCTTATGAAATCACATTTCTTGGTAAATTTACTGGAAGATTCTCTGATGGTCGTGTTCTCACAGATTATATTAGTAACACTCTTCTTTAATGCAATATTTGAGGATGCAATATGAAAACTTGCAAATGAAAGATGATGAAACTATTGCTGAGTTCTTTTTAAAGGTGGTGGCTTTAGCAAATAAGATGAAGTCATGTGGAGAAAAGACCTCTGAATTGCAGAAGGTGGAGAAGGTATTGAGGGCTCTTCAAGTCAAGTTTGATCATATTGTGGTGACAATTGAAGAATCTAAAGATTTGTCAGAGATGAAGCTTGAAGATTTGCAAGCATCTCTTGAGACACATCAGATGAGGCTGAAGTAAAGAGATTCAGAAAAAGTATCTGATCAGGTATTACAAGCAAATTTTTTTAAGAAGATGAAAGAAAGCTTCTCAAACAACAACAAAGTGAAAGCAAAATGGAAGAAGGAGTTGAATGGTAAGGCTTCAGGAAGCCAAGGTGAAACTAGCAAGAACAAAACAAATCAAAATCAGAAAGTCAAGAAGAATGTTGACATGAAGGAGGTCTAATGCTACTACTGTTAGAAGTTTGGTCATTATGACAGAGGCTTCTATTTCAACACAGACAATGGTGATGACAAGAGTGTGACTCAACTTGCTTATGCTGACAACAATAGTGAATATAAAGATGTTATCTTGATGGCTGTAACATATTTGGCTTTGAAGTCCCTTTGAAGTAAAGTCACTAAGAAATAGTTGTTATTTCTTAACTTTCATAGATGAACTCATTATACATATGAATTTACTCATTGGAAAAGAAAAGTGTAGTTTTTAGCAATTTCAAGAAATTTAAATTGTTGATTGAGAGGCAAGCCGTAAACAGTATCAAGAGTTACCAACTGATAGTGGTGGTGAGTATATTAGAACTATAAGTGTAACTGAAAAAAAAAACATTTATGAGATGAGAGAATTAATCTATTATAAATCTATAAAAATTAAAGTACTTGGAAATCCACTAATTATCTCTCTAACTACAAATTAACTCTAATATAATTTCAAGGGCATATTAGGCTTTTTGTTATATTACTATCACCACATGATTTTGACAATTAATGATGTTGAGGTATCAGCACATAACATTTTCATACATTACTTTTTTTTTTATTTTAATCGGATTTTAATTCAATTGCTCCACTAATAATGCAGGTTTTGAAAAATCAAACCCAATGCCTTCTCTTTATTACACGTTCATGCATATTTTTGGAATTAGAAGATACACTTTTCAAATATTAATTGTTCCAATTTTCGGTAAATCCTAAACTCATAAAAAAGGGCAATGTGATGATACAAAACAGTAATAATAAGTTCGCCTTTTCGTTCAAAACCTCTCTTCTTCAAAGCTTCAAACCCATCACTTTCTATTCAAACCCACAACTTTTCAAGTTTCCATTTTTTCCTATAAAACATGAGTTTCTATCTCACGCGCTCAGAACCACTGACGCACGCTTTCGGTCACCTCCGTGAAGACTGACGTCGACAAATCCAACCGAGCACATCTCACACTCCATCGTCTCCCTCCGTTAACGCAATCATCGGCCACCATCCCTCTGCAAGAAGCATCATCGACGCACCACCGCCGCTCTCTCATTTGAGGTTCGAGCATTGGTTTCTATTTCTCCCTTTAATCCATGTTCTGTTGTACATTTGTATGTTTAAATAATGTTTTGAATTGAGTATTAATATTTGAAGAATTTATGTAGGATTGTTTTTCGTTTGTAAAAGAAAGATTTTTCAATGAAAAGAATGAGAAAAAGGAAGGGAGTTAGCGAAAGAGAGATACTGAATGGATGATTTGTTCTCTTTTATTCATTTATGCTATTTTATTTTCTTTTAATTTTATTCTTCGTCCTTTGCCATGTGTTGCCATACTATTAATTCTTATTTGATTTCAATTTTGAAACGTCACTTATAATTTGTTCTCTCCATTAACATTTTTTGTTTCAATTGATTTTTGGTTCTCAGCCAGATTTATTTTTTGTTTTTTATGTTTTGGTTTCAATCTCTCTATTAACTATTTTTCTCTTTATTTTTTATTAAATTTATTAATGCTGAATCATTATTTTAGAATCACAGCAAATCTTCAAGAATTATGAATCACCGTGTAGAGCCGTGAACAAATAATGAAGTTTTTATTGGAATCTGAAACAAGAAGAGTGATCAGGTTTTTAAATCCATTGAATTAGATCCTGAAAATATAATTACAAAAGGTAACATTCTAATCATTTTCAGGTAATTTCTAATGGTTGCTTCTAATACTTTCATATTTTTTATGTTTGTAAAACCTAAATGAGTATGCTTCATTTTCCGAAAACCTAAACCAAACTTCTATAATCTTCTATTTCTTCTTTCCTCTGGCTTATTCAATTTTTATTCAATTTTCAGATCCTTTAGAGATGATCAGCCGGTGTGAAATTGTATTAATTTGAATTGAATTTATGATTTGAGTTGGAGGTGAGAAAAGTGTGATTGTATGGCATGTATGTATGCATGTAAAGAGTATGACAAGGTCATGAAAATATGTGGTCAAATATGAGGAAAAATGCTTGCATCGTGACTTGAAAAAAAGAAGCAATATCCTTTTTTTTTTTTTTTGTCTTTATTGTAATTGATTATTGATCAATGATTTTTTTTTGGTGTTCTGCCTCAGCTTCTCCTTTTGGTTTCAATAAATTGAATGCTAATTCTTTTTTGAGAATATTTTGCAATGTGACTTATTAACTTCATCCAACAAGATTCAATAAGGTGATTATGTTAGTCCTTTTTGTTGTGGCTGATTTTGTTGTTGCTGTTGTGTTGCAGCTCTTAGGAATGAGTAGTGAATTTCGGTAGCATCTATACGTCGATTCTATGTTAAAGAACTTTGGTTGTGGAATTCACCTTTAAAGAGGATTGCTCTTGATGGAACAGACTACAATCTTAGACAATGAAATACTTCTGTGTCTGATTTTTTTCCAACATTGTTAGGCTTTTTCGAGTAGACTTAGCATTAAATAGTTTAATCGTAAAAAAGTTTAATTCCAATAAAAGATACAATGATGGACTGTATAAATTAATTTTACATATTTCTCTAATCAAATCTTTATGAGTTATCGACGAATTAAATCATTATTGTTGAATTGGAAACTAAATCATATTATAATTTAAGCTTAAATGTTTTTTTGAAGTTTTTCGTCTCTTTAAAAAAACTAAGTTTTTTTTTTGTCCTCTATTGAGTATTTCGTAGATTTTTTGTCCCCTTTAAGATTTACGGAGGTGTCATTGATATGGCAATGCCATTTGATTTCATGTCACACATTTTTACCACATCACATAAAAATAATTAAATATTCAAATTATTTAATATTTAATATAGTTAATTAAATATTATTTATCAAATATTTATTAAATGCCACGTGTTAGTATATGATTCAGCAATCTCTCAATCTCTTCCTCAAATTTTTAACCACAACTTGAATCATCAAGGAAAACCGCACCATCACCAATACAATATTATACACGTTAATACGAAAATGAGCTTTGAGCTTTCCTTCCAATGGTGAAAGTGGTGCGAATCAGAATAGGAAACACAAACTTAATGGATCGAAAACAAATCTATTCAAACAGAAGCACTACAAACACATCTAATGAGTTGGGTGGTGAGGTTGATGTTCACGGTTTGGGAGTTTGTTTGAAGCAACTTGGTGATAGAAGATTGTTGAAGGGTGTGAATAGAAGTGTAGAAGATCAAGGTTGATATGGAGAGTGTTTATGGTGGTGGTGACTGGAACGGGTTGGGTCGAGCATGGCTATATATTACACTAGCAGTGAATGGAACATGGACACAAGTCTTCAAAAATCGAGCATTGGACTAGAGAGCAAAAGGCCACATGGTGTTGTGTTGTGGCTTGGTTCGCACAAGTCTCCATTGTTTTAATTGAAAACGTGGGTTTGAAATCCTCCTTGCTGAAAAATATATCTTTAACGTTCAAAAATTTATTCAAAAATTTATTTTTTTAAATTTGATTTTACTGTATTCAATATTTAGGTGATTGTTGCTATTAAATTTATTTAAGTTTTTCTTTTTAAAATTTAATAATGTCTTAATTATAATTAAAACTATTATTAAAATATGATAAATTATATTAAATTTTCAATATAAAAAAATATTAGTGTTTTTTTTTAATAAAACAATATCATTTATATTAAAAAAATGTTATAAATATTTGTGCATGATAAAAGAACAAAAGACAATTATGATAGAAAAATACATAAATTTGATATGAAAAAGATATATGTATTTTTTTTTTACATTTCTACAATTATATATTATCATTTTATTTATTTAGTACACATAAGATAAAGTTTTATCACCGCATCATAAGTTTTATCTCTTTATAAAAATATAAAAAATAATATACATTAATTATAATAATTATAATTATTATAATAATGAACATTAAATATAGAAACTTTTAAGCATGTTAAGGAAGCTCTCATATATTTTAGATTTGTAAAAATTGTTAATTCATCTGGATTGACAAGTAAATGTGAACGTATCTATGAAATACTAGTTATTGACGGATCATTTTAATGTCTATCTTTTAACCATTTCTTTTGTTTCAGTTTTATAAAATTAAAGTTATAAAAATGATTATACGATTTATTATAAATAGGAATCAAGGCTTAAAATATGATACATATTATTAGTATATAATTGATAGAAAAATACATAAATTTGAAATGAAAAAAATAAATTTATTATTTTTTTTACATTTCTACAATTATGTATTATCATTTTATTTACTTAGTACACATAACATAAAGTTTTATCACCGCATCATAAGTAAGTTTTGTCTCTTTATAAAAATGTAAAAAATAATATACATTAATTATAATAATTGTAATTATTATAATAATAAACATTAAATGTAGAAACTTTTTTAAGCATTCGACGGAGCTGTCATAAATTTTATGTTTAAAAATGGGCTAATGGTTTAATAAATTTTTAGAATTAAGTCATTTAGATTTAATTGGAGTTTGTTAACTCATCTGAATTGATGGATAGATGGGAACGTATTTATGAGTTATCAGCTATTGACTGATTATTTTAATGTCTCTTTTAATTATTTCTTTTGTTGTTGTTTTATAAAATTGAAGTTATAAAGATAATTGTACAACCACTAGTGCAGAAATGACTTTTTACATCGGGCGAAACTGACTTTTTACATCGGTTCTGAGTCCGATGTAAAGTCAGACGATATAGTAAATCAGAGACTTTTTACATCAGTTCTGGGTCCGATGTGAAAAAGACAATTAACACATCG